TAGTTGATACTACAATACTTGAAAATTGAATGTGCCCAAAATATTTATACTTCTCCCAATGGATCCCAGCTAATTATATTTTAAATAACCATTAATCAATTTAAATACCATATATCTCTTTCCTCTTAAACTCTAGAAAAGGGGTAATTGCTTAATAAAAAAACTTTTATATTTCCAAGATCTGCAGTCCAAATCTCATTTAAATGATCATATGTGTTACAATTACAATTATATATACTTTTGAAGCATTTTTCTTATATGTTTTTTTGTAATGCATCTTATCTCTTCCCTTAAGCCAATTAGAAAAAAGGCAATTGTTTTATGAAAGAGCCTTTAATGGTTATTTTATCCTCAATTATCCTTCAAGGTTCCAAGGATCTACGGTGATAATACCATGATCACATGCATTACATTTCTAGAACTAACTAGCATGTTAACATTTCTCATGCAATGACTTTTATAGAAGTATTTACTTGAATAATCTTCATCCAAGAGTTCTATCCAAAGTTTTTTCTCAAACAATGTTGCATACATTATCTTATGTTAATAGCTTAACAAAATCTTAGATCTTCATAAAGAATATTTAAAATATCAAAATATTTTCACAAACTCACAAAGTTGTATATAATTATGGCATGATATTTACATATACTATCACTATGGATTGTTAAAACCTTAGAGGGAAAATAGAAATAAAATATTCATTAAAAAAATTCTTATAAAATAATTGCCCCTTTTACAATTGGGTTAAAGGGAGAGAAATCAAATGCATTATATGGTATTCAGGCAAATGACACAAGCATTAAGTATTCATAAATACATTTTTTGCCTTGTAAAGCATCCATAATAACCCTTATTGAGCTAAAGGGTTCATTGACTAAGAAATCTTATTAAACTAAAAGGAACTAACATTTTCATTTCCAAGTCAATGAAGATATCAATACCTCTAAGGAAAGTGTTAGTTCTCTTAGGCTTAATAAAAGTTGTTGATTAGTACTTTAAAATGTATCATGAGATGAAATTTAAATATACTATCACTTTTCCCCTTGGATTAAGGAGAGAGAGAGAGAGTTAAAATATATTACAATTATAAACAGTTGCTAACAAGTAGAAACAATACATGTTTGTTGTGAAATCCTTCACAAACCACTTATAAGGCATTATTGTTGACATTAATTTGTGATCAATAAACTCTTTTTCTTTGCCATCTCAATCAAATTAAATCTTGCTAAAAAAACAAGGACAAACTATAACTTTTATAACTTTGGTTTGGATTCTTGAGCCATTTTGATTATCAGTGATCTATATTATCATGGATCTAAACTCAAAAATTATGGCCAAAAGAAAAAATATGACACAATTTTCATCACACTCATCATACTTACCAATGTGTTTCCTTGATCATTGACCTGGCTAAGTTATGGTGTTACCACCAAATGTTATTGAATCTCAATAATAAGTAAAAGAGTTTCAAAGTATACTTAACTCATTTATCTGTGGTATTCTTCCATTTTCTTAACCTCTTCTTTCCTATCAATTATAGATTATTTCTCGCTTTGTTCATATGAACAATGATTTCAGTACAAGAGATTACATTGGGACATCACCCCTCCACTATTCTGAAAGACTAATGCTGGAGAAACCATAATAAGAAAAGTGACTAACTTACTCACAAATTTTATAAATTATATAAATATCACAAACCATTAGATGGTAGAATTAGTTAGAATGTATTTTATTCAGAAAATTTAAATGAATATTAACTGTGGTGAGTGCATGAAATACAAAATTGGAATACAGAAATGTTAATCCAAAAGTCTTAATTTATATATAGGAGCAAGTGATCATCACTTGAGGTCTAGTTATGCCATATACTAATATTGGGATTTTGATACTCACCAATTTGATACAAATATATTCTATGTATATCCACTGAAACAATCAAAAGACAAGAATGTATAAAACAATGCACATGCTTTTTATAAACTTCTTTTATTTTATTTGTGTCTAAACAAAATAAAACAAAGCAAATTATTGGAACATTAACTCGTAATGTACACCTTATACCTTTTACACCTAGAGAACGACTTCCGTATTGAAAATCCAGCTAAACGTTCTAGTCTTGGGGCCCTTCTTCACCCTGCTCTGAGCTCGCTCCTCCAGTCTCAAGATCCAAGGAGGGAGACCACACACGAAATCCTAGGCCTTTTTGTGCGCGAGTAGACAATCCAGTGATGGACTTGACGTTCCATCTCTTGACCAAGTGCTCTAGAATTCCTGCGTAATCCTTGGCAGTGTACACCCCTGTCCTCTGTGCCACCAAAGAGAAGTGCTCAAACAGGTTCTTGTCATAACCATTGTACATGAGATGGGTAGAATGCACAATACAGCAACCCCCCTTTATTTAGGGTGGGCTCCATTTGCTTATTTGGATTTGTATGCCACCTCATTGCTTACATGGATCAGTCATGTGATCAACAAAATTCTGGGAGTGGTTGACTATATAATGAGTACATTTGATAATGATGTATAATGAGCTCATAAGCATTTGAGCAAATGTAACTTTAAACCATCTTTACAACCTTGATTATCAGATTGACATCTCATTAGTCGATGGCATTTTTCATATTTTCTCTCTTGTGGAAGAAAATCATAAGGAGGAAAAACCTAAACCAATCATAGGTTATATACTTATAAATTACAGCCGTTCATTAGCTATCTAATTATAAAATTATAGTCATTAACATATCCGTTAACAACATCTACTAATTAAAGTTTAACGTTACTAATTTAGAGTTAGTCGTTAAACATTTAAGGTGGGCGTGACTAAACGCGCCACGGAGGAAGTGAGGAGTGAAGAGAGGGGAGGAAGTGAGGAGTGAGCATGGCAAAGAGGCAACCACGTAAGAGAGGAGGGTGCTGTATTATGCATTTCTCCCCATGAGATGAGCCGGCATGGAGATCTTCTTCCTCATCATGTCCTCCAGCCCCAGCATTGTGCCCTCCGGATCGATCTCAAACAGCTTCTCCACGATCCTGGTGTAAGCATTCTCGTGCCGCTTCTCGTCGGCTGCGATGAGGCCGCAAACAGTCGCGAGGTTGTGGTCTCCGTGCTCCTTGGCGTGGCAAGCAGTGTTGCCGTGAGAGATGGCGGTCGCTTGCTCCTGGAAGGACGTGTAGATGAACCCGAGGTATGGATTGTTCTCGGCCCTGCAAGGATGGAAAACCCGAACTTTTGAGTTCCCGAGAAAGAAGAAACTCTGGCTCTTTACCATTCCAGAAGATCAAGTACTGGATCGTCTTCTCGGTTTGCTTCATGTCGACTCGTCCAGTGCGGTAGAGATACTTGTTGAGCAAATCACCATGGCGATTCTCCTCGGCAGTCCAGGCACGCCCCCACACCGCCCATGGACTCGGGCTCGCACCGGTCTCGTCGCGGGTGCCATCGAGAGTGTTGAGCATCGTCAAGTAAGTTGGCAGCGCTTCCTCGGTGGTCATGTCCCCGACGAGGCAGAAGCGCAAGCTCTCGTCTCGCTCCCTCAGCTCACGAACCTCGTCATAGAAGCTCTCCGAGGATGGCTCCGGGAGATAGTCCTGGGGCTGCCAGCATTTCTCCACCGGCCGGAGGAATGGAAGGATGGATTCCTCCGCCCAGCTCTCGAGCGACTTAAACATCTCGATCTTCTCGGGAGAGAGCCAGTGCATGATCTGCGAAGTCTTGCTGCTGTCTTTCTTCGCGACGCTCTCCCTGTGCATGCAAAGAGAGAAAAAAAAATTCAACCTTTCATGAAAGAAGAAAAGAAAACAAAGCGATCGATACTCAGCTGCGGCAGTCATCGCAATCGCTTGGCGATGGCAGCCATTGTTAAACTTGCTTAAACTATATCAAAGTGCAAAGCTTTGTCCTATCTTTTCTTTTTGGCGTTGGGCTTGCCAGGATTCTTCCCAGTAAATTGCTCTTGTGCTTCTTCCTTTGGCTGGCCATTCCACAGGAACTGCGTGACATCGTCCACTTGAGAAAGCTTGAGCAAAAGTGGTGTCAATCTCTCAAGCTCTTCATCATCTGCTTCTCCTCTGAATGGTTTGATCTCGATGCCATTGTGTGAGCACAGCCTGAAGTGGAACCTTTCATTGTCCACCCACACTAGCCGCTTCAACTCATGCCTGACCTTTACCTTGCGCACATCCTTGATGAAACCGGTCCTCGTCCTGGTGCAATCCTCAATGCCATAAACGTCGGTTATAAGCTTTGCACTCGCCCCAAACCCTGCCACCGATTGATCCAGGTGCCTGGAATCCGAGACACTGAAGATGACAACGGAGTAGGCCATTGCCATCCTGCTCAAGAACGCCTCCAGCCCAGGTCTGTTCACAATTGTGCTCGCGTCCTTCTTCCATACCAGCGTCTCGTTTAGGTCTAGCACCAAAACGGGTTTGCCTTCTTCCGCCATCTTTTTTAGGGCACACAAGTTGTGAACAAATTTGAAAGTAAAGTGTCTCATTTCCCTTTGTTCTTGGCCTTGGCCTTACCAAGATTCTTAGCAGACTGCTCTTGTGCTTCCGACACCTTTGGCTGGCCATTCCACAGGAACTGCGTCACATCCTCCACCTTGGACAGCTTGAGAAAAAGAGGTGTCAATTTCTCAAGCTCCCTATCACTAATGCCATTGTGCAGGCACGGCCTGAAATTGAGGCGAACATCATCCACCCAGACTAGCGTAGCAAACTGTGACACATCCTTGACAAATCCCTGTCGGCATCTAGTGCAATCCTTAATGCTGTATACCTTGCTGATCAGATGCGCAAATGCCCCAAACAGCCACACACTCGTTAACATGCTTTGAGTCTGACGTGCTGAAGATTATGAGCTTGTATACCTGCGCCATCTTGCTGAGGAACTCTTCTAGACCGGGCCTCTTGACGATAGTCGAGTTCTTTCTGCAAATCAGCATGTCGTCTAGATCCAGCACTCTGTCCATTTCTTCCCGCAGCCCTAATCAGGATTAGCATCAAGTGTTTTTCAAACCGTTTATGACATGTTTAAAGGATTTTAGTAATAAAGTCCCCTCGTTCTCACTTCCATTTTATCAAATCGCCAGTGCGTGTGAAAGTTCTCACAAAGCCTCTGTGCAGGAGAAGATCTCGAGAGCCGCTCCCGACCACCACTATCAAAGAATTTATGGACCAGTATCAAACACAACCTTGGAGTTCTACAAGACGAAGAGGTTTGACACCGCTACAATCGATTTACATGCGGAGGTTTGTAGACCGGGGAAACGCCTCGGTGACAACCAGGCTTAGGAAGCCCCCGATCCAGCAATCCTAGCCTAGTAGAGGCACTCGCCGAGTACCTCCACCAGCGCGGCAGCCCCCTCTTGCAAATTACCCACGAGTCCCATTTGGAGGCGCCGCCTCCAAAGGAAAACGCCCGAGCCAGGATGTCCCCAGGTCGGGCCGGACTTTGTCCGGTGGGCTGCTGGAGGCGTGGGAAATCTAGTCGAGCTCTTCGCCTTCTTGCGGCAAAGAGGAGAAAGAAAGCACCCAAGCAAGAAAAACCAAGCTCCACAGCAAAACAATCAAGCAAGCAAAGGAGAGATGCGATCACTCACCATGGGCGCCATCCAGATCCAGCTCCATCTACGCCACAAGCGAGAGAAATCGTTAGAAGGAAGAAGCGGGCACACAGGCAAGCTCCCGAGCTCAACCGCCAGAGGCCCCCAAAGAAAAGCCCTAGCGCCGCCGGTCTTGCATTTATATACTCCACGGACTGCGAATATTCTATTCGGCCGGATTAGAATATACCTAGACGGCAGTTAAAAACGAGAATAATTTGTGTTCGCATAATTAGTTTAGAGATTTACTTTTTAATGATTTTTGGGAGGATAATGATATTATTTTTGTGTATACTATTTTTAGTGGTTTTGTGTTACAATTTAGATGATCTAAATTTAATATAATTTGAAGGGCTATTATTGTTTTCCAATGCAATGAATCTTAATTTTATGAGATTTTTATGTTTAAATAATTACAAAATTATATGAGTTATTATTATGATAATTTATTTGACTTTAACTAATTCAAAGTAAAGCTTTAAGTAAAGGCAATTTAGAGTTAAAGGATTAAGACATTTGTGTGTGGGAGGGGGAATCACCTAAAATTTACAAGTAACTAATTTTTATTTGACACACTCTATGGGAAAGTAAAACACTTTGATATAACCCAAAGAGTCTTCTTCCTCTTCTCTAGTTACACTCAAATTGATTGATATTCCCCTAGTTGCTACCGCTCTCACTAATGTTGCCCTTGTCATTTTTATTATTTACATTTCCACTTCTTTGGACTCGAGCTTTTTCCTGTTGTGAAATTTACTTTCTGTCATAGATTTTGGGGAGGGTTTTAAAGGACAATGTCATTTCTCGAGCCAGAATTTTTTCGGAGGCATGTGAAATTTTTTCTTTCAAATCCTGTCTATTTTCCTCATGGCAAATTCTAGGCAAGTGCGGGGCACGGTTTTACGGTCAACAAGTCGTTGTCCAAGACTTCCTTGCCAGGGATGAAGTTGCTGCTGGAGAAGCGAAGGATGTGATTTCTTTTGAAATTGAAGTAGCTATTCTAAGTCGGTCTGGCTCACACAGGAACTTTTCAGGTAGAACATGTGAAGCAGAGGTGCCTGCCAAGTGCTTTAAACTATCTGATGCTTGAGGAATATGACTTTAGAAACGCATGAGATTTGTTACCTGATTTTAGGTCAATCCTAAGCATTGAATTGAAACCTCAACCTTATAGCTTGAGCAAAGTGTTTGAAAATGGTGTATAGCAACCATGTTTGCAATTTTTTTAGTACTGACCTGTAGTGTGAGGTCTGGAATTATTGTATTACCTTGTGGAGCAAATCCTTAGTGGGAGTCTCAGCCGCCTGCAGCATTCGCAAAAGCTGCCTTTGCTTAGCCACCAATGCAGTGTCGGTCGACCAGTGGACCTTTCAGTTTAAACTCTAGTCTACTATCCATGACGATCAGATTTCTCGTTTCACGTCAGACAGTAACGACAAGTTCAAAGCAAACGTTAGTCTCGTTGTGACCACCTACAACATGGTTGCTTTCAAACGATCAGAAGAATCCGAAAAAGTCATTGAATTGATAAAAGGCCACGAGTGGGGCTTACTTCTTATGGATGATGTAATACAACTCTCTTCAAAATTGTACTACTGACCGTCTTTTTTTCCTTGTAAGTGCATGTTGTGCCTGCTCATATGTTTCATAAAGTTATTAGTATCACCAAGTCTCACTGCAAACTTGGACTCACTGGTAAGCAGCTATTAAATATACGGTTGGGACTTACACCTTGTGAATTTCTTGCAGCCACGCTTGTCAGAGAAGACGAACGTATTAGCGATCTGAATTTTCTAGTTGGTCCAAAGTTGTACCAGGCGAACTGGCTGGATCTTGTGAAATGCGGCTACATTGCTAATGTTCAATGTGCTGAGGTCTGGTGCCCAATGACTAAAGAATTTTACGCAGAATACCTGAAGAAGGAGAACAGAAAGCAACAGGTACTTATTCATTTCCGTTTTATTTACCACCGCTTGACGTTCCTGTGCAGGCATTATACGTAATGAACCCCAATAAATTTCGGGCTTGTGAGTTTCTCATCCGTTTTCACGAACAACAGCGAGGAGACAAGATTATTGTCTTCTCTGATAATCTTTTCGCCCTGAGAGAGTATGCCACAAAATTGAAAAAGCCTTTTATTTACGGTCCAACCAGGTAAAAGAGGCTTCTTAGGCATTTGGCGTTGAAACTTTGTTTGTTGCAGCCACCATGAAAGAACAAAGATATTGTACGCTTTTAAACACAGTCCCGATGTCAACACAGTTTTCATGTCAAAGGTATTTGTGGCTTTGACTACTTTTCTTGCTTCTCTCAGGTCGGTGACAATTCCATTGATATACCTGAGGCAAATGGCTGGTTCCCGGCGTCAAGAAACACGACTCGGTCGAGCAAAGGTTCAGTCTCGATAGCGGACGTGGCATGTCCACGTGGTCGTGAGTCAGGTGCGCGAGGACAATGAACTACTTTTTACATTACAACAGTGTTTTTATGGACATTAGTTAGAGATCCTCTGATTTGCAGAAAGATGGTGTGGTACCAAGGAATTCAATGCGTATCTCCTTGTGTATGTGTGCTGGGAATGGGAATGTGTGCCAAGAAGCTCTTCGTGGAGGTATGCAATGCCACGCCCAAGGACGGGGAGGATCCGCGAGCCCCTACTGCATGGCCAGCGCCGGCGAACAGAGCCCATAAGCAAGATCTCAAGCCCACCTGGAACGAATTCGCACAGGCCCGATCGACGATACAAGAAGACCGGCGGCAAGCAGCGCCCCGAGTTTCTGGGGCGAGTGAGGATCCCGCCGCCAAGAAAGCTGAGGAATACATCGTCCACTATTTCTTGGCGAAGAGGAGCTTCTTCTCTCATGTCAAAGGCGAGCTACGAGGAACCAGCTCCTCCTCCCAGCGATGGCGATAGCGCGAAGAAAGTGATGCCGAGGGCGAGAAGAAACCGGAAGAAACAGCCGCTGCCGCGAGATGGCGATGGAGGGATGTGGAGAAGAAGGAAAGAAGCGGACGGAGAAGAAAGAGGATGGCGGCGGTGGCGGCGGTGGCGGCGATGGACGACCCACCAAAGAAAGAAGTGGAAGAAGAAGCTAGCGGGGGCGGCGCCACCACCACCATGGAAGGAAGAGAAGCATGGCAAAGGCGGCGGTGGCGATGGAGGAAAATCGCCTCCAGGGCGGCGGAGTTTGTCCGGCCACCGCCGTACGATCGTCCCGCGGGCGAGGAGATGACCACCAATCTGGAGTGGAACGATGTTCGCGTTTGGCAAGGAGTGGATGGGCGGCCCGGCGCTGCGATCCGGATTCCAGCTTCCTGGGCAGCGTCGTCTTGGAGTTCGCCGAGATCCCAGTGCGCGTCCCACTGGATAGCCCGCTAGAGCCGCAATGGAACCGCCTGGAGCGAAAGAGCCACTATAGCCAAGAACAGTCCGAGGTGAGCCGAGCTCGGACTGTCACGGCCTCGATCACATTCACGAGGAGGTACCACAGCTTGGGCGAGCGAAAGGTGATTGCCGCGCCGGAGACAGCAGGCCATGGTAAAGGTAATGCTGATAACCATGGGCGGCGCCTACGGCTACTTCACGTCTTTATAACTGTATTTGATCAAGTAGATGTAGATTTTCCATACCTTGCTAGCGTCTTGTGGGAAGGCGCTGCCTCCATCCGAGGTAACTCGCTCACGTAATCTGAAAAAGACCATATTGCATCCAAAAACATAGACTAATGTGCACATACCTTCTAACGGATGCTTGTCCTCCCAAACGTCTCGAGATGTTTGGCCTTCCAGTGTCACATACTCGACCATTTGATTGAGAGAAATCACATCTTTTATCTCTGAGCACATACGACATACAAAGAAAATGAGAGAGAGAGAGAGAGAGAGAGAGAGAGAGAGAGAGAGAGAGAGAGAGAGTCAGTCATCTTACCGGAATAATCCGATGAATGAGGATCAAGGAGCTCGACCAAACTCTTCGTTGTAGCTTTGAGATAGCGAGGCTTCTGTCCTGAAAAACCACAGAACCAAATATAAAACATCTAGAAAGAGGAAAGGAAGTGTGATTAATTTACCAACTGCATAGCCCAATTTCTCCTCTAACTTGGCTCTTTTGGATTCCTCAGCTGCTGCTCTTGTTGTGGTAATCTTGTTGTTGCCCTTCCGTCCCAACTTGCCAAGCTTGGGATTCATCACAATTCCTTGTAAGCTTCCATCCTCGGTAAAAACTGGAGCACCTGGCTGTAGTGCAAGCGAGCCAAACAGTGCCACATCTGGGTCGAGGCAAACACCACGTACCATCTCCAACGAGGGACCAAAAGTGTAGAGCGTGTCCATGAACTCATCTACATGTCCATCAACATACATGCACTGGCCAAAGTTTACGCCCACCACCGGCTCCAAGTACACGATCATCGGGCCAGTGCCGTAAGTGGTACGCTCACTGATCTTATACTCGTAGCAAGCATCCTCCTCCAGGAACTTGACCATGATCTTCATCTCATCTCGCAGCTCTTTCACACACTTGGCAACTGTGATACACAATCCTTCCGGGTCGATCAGCGTCGCAAAGCCCGTGGCAGTGTTGGGATCGAGCGTCCGATCACGAAGACGTTTACTGGAGATGATGTGCACAGAGCACACAAACTTCTTCATCTCCTTCTCCAGTGTGCTCGACTTTCTCATTTTCGCCCTGTAGCCGTATATCCCTTCCCTCAATTCATCCAAGAAAACTTCTGTTCTCGCTCTCTTCAAATTCCACACCCGCGTTACCTCAAACATGTGTTCTTCGGCCTCGTCGAACGCCTTGCCAAGCGGGGTCTCCGCAAACGCTGCAGCTGCTTCCTCTTCTTCCTCTCTCCGAGACAGCGGTTGCTTTCTCCCATCGATCTGGAGAGGATTCTCTTGTGATCCATCGCCCAGACCACACGATCGAGCGAAACCAATTATCTGCTCGAACGTCATACGTGATTTCCCATAAGAATCCTGGATGAGAGCTAAGCTACCCACAGCGAGACTCTCTGGAGCTAACCCATAGTGCCTGGCTACATCTGCTACCAGGAAAAACCCACCTTCTAGCGGCACCAGGCGTAAATCATCGCCTCTCTTGACCCACATGCACTCCATCCCAAGAACCCTAAAAAGCACATTATGATTGAGGTGGCGGGGTGGCACCATGAAGAGTTCCATTGAGATCGGTCTTTCCCTGCGAGCTTGGCCTTGTTTTCGATCACTCGCTGCTGGTCTCACCAGAGGATGAGTTCTATTTCTGGTGCGTAAGAACCATACAAGGAGAAGTGGGAGATTTCTTCCGCTCCAGATCTTCTTTAGAGGATGCGATCCGCCAGCGATGGCAGCCGCCGAAAGAAGTTGATCGGCGCCGCCGGCAGCGGATCCCTGAACCTCGGGTGCCTCATCGCGTACAGGCCCGCCACGACCACGATCACCCGGATGGGCACCACGTACAGCACCACCGCCACAACCAGCGAAAACGTGACAAAGATCGCCGTCGCCCTGGGATCCCTCCAGCTCAGGAGCGCCCCGACCCTCTCCCCCTGCGTCGCCAGATCGCCCAACACATTCTGGATCCTGGCCGCCACGATCCTCACGCGATCATACCTCGCCCGGATCACATTCGGGTCCTTGGCGCTCGGGATGGGATCAAACTCCTCGTCCAGCTCGTCCGGCTCCACGACCTCCGCCTGGGACAGCCGCGCCTCCATGGATGGCGGCGATCGCGGCCGGGATCGGTACTGCCACAGCCCGATCAAGAACATGTAGAGGAAGAGCGTGGGGAGGATGAGCTCCGGGTACCACACCAGGATGAGGAACAAGATATGGACGAGTACGGTCGTGACCGGGTTGCGCCAGTGGCAAATGTTCTCCATCCAGCGTACGACCGCCATTGGCCCATTCAGCACGCTCATGAGGCGGAAGTAGTTGACCTTGCTGCGACGAAGCGACCAAACGTTGACGTCCGTATCGAGCATGTACTGTACGACCTCCTGGCGGAGGGGCGGCTCGGATCGCGCCAGGCGGATGGCCACGATGCGCATGGCGGATATTCGCAGGATCTCCGCCTGGGTGACGCCCAATGGGTGGAGGTAGTGCATTCGCGGCAGCAGCGGCTGGAAGTAGAGCTGGAGCATGGAGAGTACGGAAGCGGAGGTGAAGCGTACGGCGAGCTCCACCTCGCCCAGCTTCTTTACGCCCGACTGCTGGAGCGAGAGTAGCGGGTAGCGGTTCGTGTAGACGCGGTCGCTCTCCAGGGTGGATAGCCGGATCCTCACCTTGCCGATCCGGGCGTCGCGGTTGGCCTGGTTGGATTGGATTGAATTGGATGGATCGCCCACAATCACAGCAACAAGAAAATCGTTAGAAAAGCTCGCAAAGTTTTGATCTATATAGCTAAAGAGATCAAAGAAAGCGCTGAGAGATTAAGCTGAAGAGATCAAAGAGAGAATGTGGAGATATATGAAACGATGAGAGATTGTGGAGATATAGCTAAAGATCTCGATCAAAGAGATCAAAGGAAGCAACGAGAGATTGTGGAGCTAAAGAGATCAGCAAAGAGAGATTTTGGTAAAGAGAAAGAGCAAGGGAAGCAAAGAGAGATCATAGAAACGGGCAGTGAAGACTAAACGATCATGTAGAAGGCCAGAGAGAGTTCTTACGTTTTGGTGATGGTGGTGATCGTGGTGGCCATGATCCACGAGCTGGGCGTTGTCAAACACGCCGATGGTAAGCACCGTACAGGGGTCGTGCACGTCCCACCGGTACTGCTCGTTCCACCGGGGGTTGAGGCTATCCATGACCGTACGCGTTCGTACCCACTTCGAGCCGTACTTGGCCACCACGTACGCGTCCGTACTCCCCCGCCCCTCCTTGTTCTTCATGGGCAGCACGTCCTTGCCGCGGATGATCCCCAGCTCCAGCATCCCCACCCCGGCCTTCCACAGCTGCCTCGCGGTTGGATTCGCGCAGCTCAGGTGATTCACCGGCTCGTCCAGGACGTGGTAGCCGCCATCCAAGCACACCCGGAGATGCAGTCGCCCATGGAAGCTATGCTTCTTCTGCTCGTCTTCGCCACCACCGCTACCATCGCCGCCACCACCATGCTTCTCGAGGTTGTACCAGCGGGAGCTCACTTGGCGGTGGTCGATCCGGCGCTCCACGCCGGAGAGCGCGATCCGGACGAGCCCCAGCAGCGCGTGCTCCTCCTTCTCGCCGCCGCTCTTGCGCTCCTCCACTCGCAGCACCAGATCGTCCTCGAATGGCTCCGCGGCGACGAAGAGGAGGTCCTCGTTCCAGAACGGGCTGGTTGTACGGTTGCCGGCTACCCGAGTCCGCTGGACCTGGAAGCCGAGGTGAGCTCGGACTGTCACCTCGGGCTGGAAGCGCTCCAGGTGGACTTCCTGGGCCTCGATCACGTTCACGCGGAGGTACCACAGCTTGGGCGAGAGGTAGACTTTGGATCGAGTGTGCGCGTATCCGCCAGAGTCCGATTGCCACGCCTCGGTGAACGCCTCGTCCGCCTGGGTGCCCAGCCACACCGCCAGCATTATATCACCTCGGACTGTTCTTGGCGAGCTCTGGCTATGGTGGCTCTTTCGCTCCAGGCGGTACCACTGCGGCGCTAGCGGGCTGTCCGGCGGGACGCGCACTGGGATCTCGGCAAACTCGAAGACGACGCTGCCCAGGAAGCTGGAATCCGGATCGCGGTCGTCGGACACCGCGATCTCCAGCGCTGGGCCGCCCATCCTCTCCTTGCCAAACGCGAACACCTCGTTCCACTCGGGGTAGAGCGTGCTGGGCACGGATCTGGTGCGCGCGGTGTGCGATCCCAGCGAGATCTTGGCGAAGGGATCGATGGCAGCATCCTTGGATGCCAGCGCGCGCGCCTTGACGACGCGGACAAAGAGGTACTGCATCCTCTCCACCAGATCGAAGGTGACCACCTTGTCGCCGATCGCCTTGGTGGCGATCATGGGCTTGGTCTCCTTGAGGATGAACTCGCCGGCGGGGACGATCGTGGGTGGCGATGGCCGCGGCGGTGGCCGGACAAACTCCGCCGCCCTGGAGGCGATCTTCGTGTTTTCTCCATCGCCACTGCCACCACCGCCGCCGCCATTGCCATGCTTCTCTTCTTCTTCTTTCTTTGCTTCCACGGTGGTGGTAGCGGCGCTGCTAGCTTCTTCTTCCACTTCTTTCTTTGGTGGGTCGTCTTCTTTCTTCTCGCCATCGCCGCCGCCGCCACTGCCGCCATCCTCTTTCTTCTCCTCCTCTTCTTTCTTTTCTTCTTCCTTCTTCTCTTCCACTTCCTTCTCCACATTCCCTCCATCGCCATCTCCTCCATCCTTCTCCTCCTTCTCGGGATCGCTGCTCGCGGTGGCGGGTGTTTCTTCCGGTTTCTTCTCGCCCTCTTCGCTCTTGGCATCGCCCTCTTCCACTTTCTTCTCGCCATCGCCATCGGCGGGAGGAGGAGGAGCTGGTTCCTCGTCGCTCCACCACATCTTGATTCCAATCTCGCCTTTGACGTGAGAGAAGAAGCTCCTCTTCGCCAAGGGATAGTAGACGATGGATTCCTCGCCTTTCTTGGCGGCGCTCTTGGCTGGGATCCTCACGCGGCCCAGGAACTGGGGTCGCTGCTTGCCGCCGGTCTTCTTGTCACTCAGCACCGTGATCTCGATCTCCTTGTCGTCGATCGGGCCTTGGATCGCGAATTCCAGCACCGTGTTCCAGGTGGGCTTGAGATCCTTGCTCTTGGGCTCTGTTCGCCGGCGCTGGCCATCGAATTCCAGCACGCAGTAGGGGCTTGCGGATCCCTCCCCGTCCTTTGGCATTAGATCTGTGGCATTGCATACCTCCACGAAGAGCTTCTTGGCGGCGTCCATGGATTGATCGATTGGATGCGTAGCCTTCTTCGTCTTTCCTCCTCTTTATCTCTCAGTGGATCTCGCGGCGAATGCCGGTGATGGGCATTTGGATCTGGGAGGAATTCCTGGCGAATCGATGGGAATGTGTGGAATTGGTGCTCGGCTGTTGCAACTACTCCACCGGGATTCGTAATGGGCGATCTAAATCCAGGGAAGAACAGAGCTTTCTCGCGTGTTCCATCCTAATTGCGGCAAGAGTCCAGGAGAAAGGAGAGACTGAATCAATCCAAGACAAACCGGCAATGTGGGTCGTGGAATTCCTCCGCGATCCAAGCGCCCATCGATCAATCATCCATCCACAAAGCTCCGCCCTCAGATCGATCAATCGATTTAACTTATCTCCTAGATCCTCCAATCTTTCCCAGCGGCGGAAAGGATTGGAATCTCGAGATTGGTAGGCGAAAAAAAGTACCCACTTCGGCCTCGCTTTTGAGCTCTCCACGGTCGGAAAGAAAACGCTTTCGTTGAAAAAGAGCGCCAGAGATCTAACGGCTCTGATTTTGCCACGTGCCGGAGAGCTCATCGTACGGCCGGGGACTTGTCCAGCTCTCAGGTTGAACGGCCGGCGCTTGATCCCGAGCATATGCTGTCCTTGATTCTTGCATGATCCCACACAAACAACATTTTGATTGATCTCGTGATCTCAATTTCTTGTTTGTAATTGTTTTCTTTTTTAAAATCCATCACATGTGCACATATGTTTTTATTAAAGCTTTTGAAACAAAAATAAATGTACGCCCACCTGAACTTGTTTGGATCCGAACGTTCAAATCGAGCTAAAATACCACGTACATTCCATTGCCATTTGCCAACTTGTTTGATACTTGCCGGCCACTGGCAATGGCAACACGATGATCACATACATTGGTGTATGCCAGTTAGTCCCTGTAAAGGTATTTCCAAACGTATACTTGGGTGTTTTCCTCGGTTGATAGCTTGAATGTCCTGCTGTACACAAACAATCTCCAGGCCGCATATTGACACTCAAATTAAAAAAACCAAACAAAGGAAAGCGATTGTTGTGTTGTCTTCAAATTTGTCTTTGGATTGCATTTTCGTAATTTGTGTTTTGTTTTCTTCTGGTCATTTTTCAAGCATGGGACCTTGATTGATTTGATTTGAGCTTTTGGTTCATTGTTATTGTTTAAAAGGTCCCTTCTTCATCCCCACAAAACTACGCTTTTTAGTAGGTAAAAAGAGAAAGTAAAGTTCCTGTAGGTTTTATCATCTAAAAGGTCCCTTTTTCATCCCCACAAAAACTATGCTTAGGTAAAAAGAGAAAGTGAAGTTCCTGTGGGAAAGAGAAATGTTGGTGTTTTTTTCTGCTCGTTTTTTTTGGTGTCATTGTTGACAGTGATAAGTTCTGTGGGTGAAAGTGGGCCACTAGCAAAATGAGAGCCAGCTTCTAGTTGACGTGTCAACTGACTCGGCTCCACGTTGACACAAACACAAAGGTTGAGTCCGACCTGCCGGAATCGAACCAGAGACCTAAGGATTGCTGAGCAACTACAGTCCTCCGCTCTACCCGGTTTCATGATAATCCCATATTTTTAACAATTCTTTCTATTTGTTTTGAAAAAAAGAATTTTGCTAACGACGATCGAGTCACTTAACACGTCAGCAAATGTTCTCGTAATGCAAAAAAGTACATTAAATGTACAGCAAGTATATACATCAAGTTTTAAATCTATATACAGCAAGTATTCCTTTTTTCGTTATTATCAAGAAGGGCTTCCTTATCTATTTTCATGGGCTGGTTCCCTCCGAGACCTTGGCCGTGGGCGCCGTCCCCACGTCGGCATGGTTACCAGGCACGAGCACCGGATCATACTGCTGGACCACCAACACCGACGCCTTAACCACGGCCTGCTGTTGCCTGTCGCGGTGATGGTGGCGATCGTCCACGTCTTCATTCGCGACTGCCAGCGCATCGCCAACTGGGCCCAGCTCCGCATACGTGGCCTGCCGCCGCGAAAGTGACGCCATCCCCGGGATGGGCCGGCGACCTCTCCCCACGATCAGGAGCCCGTGCTCGTTCTTCCTGGCCACGCCCATCACCGCGTGGATGGGATCGCCGTCCACGTTCACCTCCTCCACAAAGATCCAACGCTCCTCCTTGTCCTTCTGTTCTTCCAGGACTTCCCTGAGCCCCGCCAATGCCTGTTCGTCGAGAACGCTCTCCTCCTTGGCGATGGTTCCTGGCGCGATATGGTAGCCCGTGTCGACCGAGGTAAGCCTTGGAATCATGGACGCAAAGTCGGATGAACGCCTGCCGCTGTGACCAAGGTGGTGCTGATCGTGGAGGCCGCCGCCGGCAGCGTCGATCGAGACGACGTGCTGCTGCTGCTGCTGTTCTTGCTGCTGGTGCTGCTGATGATCCACCAGGAACTTCACCACCGAGAGCTTGATCCCTGGATGCTCGGCCATTCGCATTCCCACCGCTAGAGCCTCCCGGTCATCTGGACCGCCGAAGAAGAACACCGCAACGCTGTGGTTGACGTTCATGGAGGAGATCTGGTGTGCGGAAGCTCCTCGGTCTATGAGGATCCCCACCGAGCACGGCGCGTGGACGAGAACACGCTGGTTCACAATCTGGAAGCCCGGGTGCATGGTTTCGAGGAGGCCATCGGCGCGAGCGTACTTGTGGAACGGGAGGATGATGAGCGCTGCTCGCTTGTTGGCCGCGGTGGTGCAGATGTCGTCGTGCATGTCTGGAAGCGCCGTGATCGCGGTGAGAGACCGCAGCGTCACCTTGTTGAGCTGCGCGAAAGCTCCAAACGCGACCGCGATCCCGTTGACAACTGCGAACGAGGAGCCCCCCGCTCGAGACACCGGGAGGCCGTCTTGCCGGACCCTCTGGACCATCATGATGGCCGACGATCGCTCCGTGAGCTCCACCAGCTGGAGGATGTAGAGCCGGAAGAGCTCCTTCCGGTTGCTGCCCCGGATCGACTCGATCAAGTTCATCACTGTCGGGACGTTCTTCATGCCGTGGACGCAGGCCAGCACCCTGAGCTGGTTGTTTCCTTGCTCGTCCATCGGTGAGAGACGGCTGAGTTTCCTCCGCTTGTACGGTACCTGGTCTCTGGCTGGTTTGTAGAGTGCCATCACCACCGGTGTCGTGATGAAAGTCGTGAACAGCGCCATAATCACCATGATCGCAAACATCTCCTCGTTAAGCACCTGTCAAAATCACGCTTCTGTAGTTTAGCCACCTAACGTAGCGTAAACGAGAAAGTGAAATGCGCCTACCTTTCTTTCCTTGCCGATGTTGAGCACGATAAGCTCCACGAGACCTTTCGTGTTCATCAAGAACCCCAGCGTCAACGCCTTGCGAAAGTTCTCCCCATACGCCATTGACACGGCCAGAGTTCCCAAAATCTTCCCGCCACAAGCCGTGACGATGACGAGCACCAAGAGTCCAAACGAGCGGGCTCCGCTGATGCTGCCAATGTCGGTCTGGAGGCCGCTGGCCGCGAAGTAGAGGGGCAGCATCAAAATGTTGACGAAGTCCTCGATCTTCTCGATGAGTGCGTGAGCAAAGTGTCCCTCAGGGATGATAAGCCCAAACACGAAAGCTCCAAAAATGCCGTGTATGCCGATGAAGTCCGTGACGAAGCCGGACACTAACACTCCCCCCAGTGCGATGCAAACGTAGAGCTCCTTGACTGGCTGGTCGGCCGGAGAGCGGCTAGCGATCCAGGCCATCAGTGGCTTGACGAACAAGAACATCGCAAGGACGAACGCCACTCCACAGAGAAGAATCCATGCTGCCACTGCCGGACTCCGTCCCGTTCCGGAGAGTGCCACGGCCAGCGCGAGGAAGATCCATGCAACCACGTCGTTGGCAGCGGCGGCGGCGATCGCCATCTTTCCAACGTCGGTGGTGAGCAGCCTTCTCTCGGCGAGGATGCGTGCCAGCACTGGGAATGCCGTGATGGAGAGCGCCACCCCCATGAAAACCAGGAAGGGGATGAACTTCGTGTCGGGGTTGACGGTGTTGTGGAGCACGAACGAGACCCCGACGCCCGCCGCGAACGGGAGAGAGATCCCAGCGATGGAGATGGCGGCGGCCTGCTTGCCGGTGCGCTTGAGAGACGCCAGATCGAGCTCCAGGCCGACCATGAACAGGAAGAACATCAGCCCCATGTTTGCAAAGGTGGTGAGGATCGAAAGGCTTTGCTTGGTGAAGATCTTCGCCAAGTAATCGCTGTTTCGCCCCAGTGCCGATGGACCCAGCAGCACACCACCCTGTGAAAAGAAAAATTATGATCAGTCCACTGGCCACCGCTTCTCTCGATTAAACAAATCTCTCTCGGAGCAAAGAAAGAAAGCTTATCATCGAAACAAGCGCTAGCGCTATCTAAGAAAGAAAGGAACTTACAATAATCTCCGCGATGACCCGAGGTTGCCGCAGTGGCTTGAGAAGGAGGCCAAGAACGCGAGTGACAGTGAGGACGAGGATAATCTGGACAATGAGGAGCGATAGCGAGAACTCGATGGGATTATCGCCCTGCCAGATGCCATGGGAGGTCGTCGACGCGAGCTTGCAGGTGGAATTGGAATTCGCCGCCATAGCTGCCGCCGCCGCTGCCGCTGCTGCTGTGATCCAATACTAGAGGAATGGATCCATGGAAGAGCGATGCGATATCGATCGAGAGCGCGGATATTTTGCAGCGATAGGGCAGCTTATAAAGCCGGCATTCCGGCGATCGACAGCAGCAAAACTGGAGAGATCAAAGTCAACTAAGGGATCGCCCGTCCCGACGATCCCATCGTGCGGAGCAAAGGCGCTCGCGAAGAACGACTTTGTCCAGACCTAGAAACAAGAAAGCCAAAAAGCAAAGCAAAAAAATAAACAATTTCCCTCGCGTGGCACATGTCATAACAGGAAACGCATCCGGCTGGCTCGGAGGATGTGCGACGTGGCCAGCGCCAGGAATGCCACGTGTTTAGGGCAACTTGGCCGTATTTCCAAGAAATTACTGGCCGAAAGTCGCGCCGTATCGTACTCAAGCGGTATACTTACGCGTATAAAGATTCGTTAGGAAATATTTTTAATTGCTTGAATCATCTAGCTTGATCTTATCCGGTATACGTAGTAAATACGTAAGTATTTCGGAGCTCATTCTCGCAAGTTCCTACATTGCTCTCCATAGCACAATATCCTGTCATAGATTAACAGATACATTTGGTTTGACTTTATTCGCATTGTCTTCTTTTGCTCTTTTGACATTATCAGGGTTAACATCACCTTTGTCAACTTTCCCATTTAATAGTTCTCTTGAACTTTCAGTGATACTGTCAACTTTCTCCAAGATCTTATCTCTTCTATTGCACTTCCAGTACATTTTTGGCACTATCGACTTTCAGAACCTTTCTCCAAGGTCCTCCTTTTTGTGTGAATCTGATCTCGAATTCGTATATTATTCCACATTTTTCTTCCACCGAAGAAGATGAAAAAGACGAAGAGGAAACTGGTTCATGGCCAGCTGCGTGCATGGCTTCCATCAATACGTTGAAAGCGGGAGGATCTTTGAATCTGATCTCGAATTGGTATACTATTCCTCATTTTCTACAAATGTTACATGGTGTTCCGTGGGAGAGGGCGAAGAAGAAGAAAATGGCTTATGGCCAGCTGCGTACATGGCTTCCAGCAAAACGTTGAAAGCGTGAGGATCCGGGGACAACTTGAGCCTGTCAATCTCCTTGAAGACTTTCATGGCTTCGCTCAATCGCTGCTCGCCGCAGAGCCCAAAGATGAGACTGTTGTAAGTCACCAGATCCGGAGAACACCCGTGATCCTGCTCCATCCTCTCGAAAACCTCCACCGCGTCGTCCAGGCGCTTGGCTTTGGACAAGCCATCGATCATGATGTTGTGAGACACCGTGTCTGGCTTGCATTCCCGCGAGACCATCACCTGGAACAGCTGCCTGGCCTCGCCCGGCTTCCCTGCTCGGAAGAACCCCTTGAGCAGGCAGTTGTAAGCCACCACGTCCGGATCGTGGCCCTTGCTCACCATCTCGTCAAACACCTCCACCGCTTGCTCGATCTTCCCAACGTTGCAGAAGCCGTAGAGCAGCGTCGTGTAAGTCACCTTGTCTGGATCGCAGCCCCGCTCCACCATCTTCCGGAAGAGCTCGTGAGCTTCGTCGGGCTTGGACTCCTTGCACAGGCCGTGGAGAAGGCAGTTGTAAGTCACGGCGTTGGGACGGCAACCCCGGCTGATCATCGCCTCGAACAGCTCGTGGGCTTGGTCGTGTTTCCTGGCCAGGCTGAAGCCGTGGATGAGAGTGCTGTACGTGATCACGTCCGGCGAGCAGCCAGCCGATATCATCTCCTCGTAGACCCCCTGAGCGTCAGCGATGCGGCCCTTCCTCATCAGACCATTGAGGAAGGCGTTGTAAGTCGTCACGTTTGGAACGCAGTTGAGGTCGATCATCTGCTTGTAGAGCTTCTCGGCGCGGCCGAGCTCGTCGATCTTGCAGAAGCCATCGATGAGGATGCTGTAGCTCACCACGTCCGGGACGACGCTCCTCTCGCTCACCATTGTGCTGAAGATGGCGAAAGCCTGGTGGACTTTCTTGGCTTTGCAGAGGCTGTTGAGGAGCGAGTTGTAGGAGAAGCAGCTGCTAGCACGGGTGCTGATCGTCCTGTTCATGCCTTGCAAGAACTCCTGTGCCTCTTGGATCTTGTCCGCCTTGCAAAGCTCGTTGATGAGCATCGAGTGAGTCGCCATGTCCGGGCAGTAGCCACGCTTGATCATCGTTTCCAAGAGGCTCAGAGCGCTGTCCACTCTCCCGGCTTTGCAGAGCTCCTGGATCACGCTGTGACATGTCCCCGAGCTCGGCTGGATGTTCCTTCCAGCTATCTCTAGGCAAGCCTCTTCGGCCTTGTCGATACGGCCGCTCTCGATCAGCAGCCGGATGAGCATGTCGTAGACGGGCTGCGATGAGCTCAAGCTCTCTTGCATCGTCCGACATGCCTCGAAAGCTTGCTCGATCTTTCCCGACTTGCAAAGGCCGCCGAGGAAAGCAGTCCAGGCAACGTTGTTGAGAGGAGCTTTCGACTCCACCGCCATCTCGAGAAAGAGCTTGAAGGCCTCGTCGAGATTCTCCAGCTTGCAGTGAACCAGCACCATGTAGCTATAGATCGTCGCGTCGGGCTTACACCCGCTCTTCACCATGTCTCTAAACAGCTTTGAAGCCTCGATAGCTTTGTCCTGGATCACAAAGTTGACGAGCAATGCCTTCTTGAGCATCATCTCCACCGCAACTCGCTTCTCCAAATCTCTTCCAAAAACTCTGGAAAATTCTCCCTCTTTCCCCGTGGCTTTGAGACACTCGGTCACCTTCTGGTAGAGCGTGGAGCTCGGCTTGAACCCCTTGTCCACCATCTCACCGAAAAACCTCACGGCTTCGTCGGAGTTCCTCTCGTAGCACGACGATTGCACGAGAACAGCGTACGTGAATCCATTCGGAGCCACGCCCTGCGCGACCATCTTCTCGAAAACCTGGCCGGCTTGCTTCAAATCGCGGTGCCGGATGAGCTTATCCAGCAGGCAATTGTAAGTGAAGACGTCGTGCTTGAAGTTCCTGGCCTGGAGCCACCTGAAGAAGGTAAGCGCCTCTCCTCCATCCCTCAAGTGCTTAATCACGGCTCCCACGGTCTCCCTGCAGCTAGATTTCCCATCCCATTTCTTCACCACGACCTCCAGTTCCAAGAATCCGCGCTGCTGCTGCTCCTGCTGCTGCTTTTTCTGGGAAGAATAGATTGCCCCATTGCGGCTGAATCCGCCCAGGCGCGAGCTTCTACCGGGAATTTGGATACGAACCTCGGATTTCTTGGATGCTCCATCGCCGTCGCTATTGTCGATCAAAGAGGAAGCCGCACGGCCTCGGACCCTCCTGCAGGAGCTGCAAGCGCCGGAACTCCTGAATCCCTCGGCGGCATTGGGGCGCATCGCTAACAGAGTAATGACTGATGGATATACTTAGAATTTGTTTGGATATTCTAGCATATTTTATGATCTAACGGTTGATATTCTTTTAGATTACTTTTGAGTTTATAAATTATAAACATGTCTATATAATTTATAAACGGCTTAAATTTACTTTTTGGTTTGTTTAAGTGAATATATAGAATATACTTGAATATTTTGGAATATTTTACCATCTAGCAGTTGTTATGCATTTAAATTTATTTTGTATTTATAATTTTAAAACCTCCTTTTCTAGTTTATTGCACCATGTGAGTGCCTAGAATATGGAAAGGGAATACAGAAATGTGCATATCAATTAGCCCAAAAACCCTAGCTTATATACAGGAGCGAGTGGTCCGGATTGAAACCAATCCGACAGCTACCAAAATCCACTACGCTAATATTAGTATACGGCATCGTAGCCGTACACTTGGCCCTCACATCATCCCCTCCTCTCGGAATAATGGAAGGCCGTCAAGGTTCTCTTGTAGATGGGCCAGGATCTGGAGGAACGTCAGGAGGAGGCATCGGCGGATCTGTAGACGGTATTAACTGCTTCTGATCCCTTTGTATGAAGCGTTTTAACCGTTGCACATGCACAATCTCCGGAGGATCGGCCTGCTGAACGTCATGCCGAACCTCATAAACTTGCGGTCCAACTTGCCGTAACACCCGATATGGTCCTTTCCATTGCACAAGGAGCCCCTTAGATAAACCACGTACCGTAAGATGGGGAAAACGGACTAACACCAAATCATCCACTTTGTACTCCGCAGGTGGACGATGATGGGAGTTGTAGCGCCGTTGTTGTCCCACTTGTATGCGGCCTAAGTGTTCGGTAGACTCTGCTCGGACAAGTGGAAGAATGCTTGTCAAATACTGATCCCATGACCTAGCATCAGGAGCTCGTGGCAATCGCGAAGGTAAACCCAGCTCTGTTGGTAATATTGGATCATGACCATATAGAAGTTTATATGGTGAAGCACCAACAGAACTCTGCACCCCTGTGACATAGGCATACCAAAGAGATGGCAAATAACCATCCCAATCCGAATGCTGAAAGTTCACATACTTCGCAATCATCCCTTTGAATGTCCGAACAAGCCGTTCCACCAGACCGTCTGATTGTGGATGATAAGCACTCGTAAAAGTGTGGCGTATCCCCAACCGAGATGTCAAAACATGAAATACCTCAGCCATAAATGCAGGACCATTATCCGAAAGAATCCGCTCTGGACAAGAATGCTGGAACACCACTCGATTGAGGAGGAAGTATCCAACAGCAGTTGCAGAGGCGCTAGCAAGAGCACCAACTTCCACCCAACGAGTCAAGTAGTCAGAAGCAATAATAACATACTCATTGCCAGCAGTCGATCGTGGAAAAGGTCCCATAAGATCAAACGCCACCAACTCAAACGGACGGGAAACTGCAATTGACTCCAACCGTCCTTCCGCAGCACAAGGGGGAGTATTACGAGCTTGGCACCAAACGCAGCTACGCACATACCGGATAATATCACGTCGCATCTCCGGCCAATAGAAAGACCTGCGCAGCTTCTCGGTGACACGACGGTGTCCCATATGCCCACCTAGAACAGGAGAATCATGGTAGGCATGGCGAAACCGTGGAATAAACACCGAAGGCACCACCAACCGTAAATGATCATCAGGATCCGTCCCCACAAAATAAAGAAGGCCATCTTCAAGGCGATATTGAGAATGTAAATGCCGGAAAGGCAAGTCATCAGCAAGTGATGCAGGATTCTCAAACCCATCTCGAAGCCTTCGAATCCACGGCTCAATCTTTTGAGCCTCGCGAACCTCATCAAGAGAAGGTAGATCTTGCTCTACGCCCTGTGGACACTGAACGTCAAGGACAGCAACCGCCGACGGCACAGAATCCTCATCTAGAAAATCCACAGATGCTGGAACAACAGGTTCGTCAGAAACATGAGAAGTGAGTGGAGAAGGAAGAGGAGCTTGAGAAAGGGCATCAGCATCAGCCATAGAACTCCCTGGGCGATGAACAACATCGAAATCATATATCTGAAGCTTCAAAGCCCATCGAGCCGTACGACCAACCAGGTTCTTCCGCTTCAATAATGAAGTAACAGCAGCATGGTCACCTTCAAGTAACGTCCGAGAACCATGGAGATATGCATGAAGTTTCTCGAAACCCCAGACTGCTGCTAAACACTCCTTCTCCGTCGTGGAGTAGTTCATCTCCGCTGGTTGTAATGTACGGCTTATGTATGCAATGGGATGGCACTGACCAGGCACACTCGAGCTCTCTTGCATCAACACACCTCCAAGACCAATGTCAGAAGCATCCACGCGCAAAATAAAAGGTCGAGTGTAGTCAGGATATGCCAAAACCGGAGGAGTTGTCAATAGCTCTTTGAGATCCACGAATGCCCGCTCACAATCCGGAGACCAGATGAAAGATGACGTTGATGACTTCAGCAACGCTCGCAATGGTGTAGTGCGATTGGAAAGATGATCCACAAAACGACCGAGATACTGCACCTTACCCAAAAAACGCTGCACATCATTCACACATTTCGGAGTAGGGAACTTTAGAACAGCCATAAGTTTGTCAGGATCAACTTGCAAACCCTCACGAGAAATACGGTACCCAAGATAAGTTGTGTCCTTGGACCCAAACACACACTTTGACCGCTTTGTAAGGAACCGACTCCCCGAGATGTCGAAGGCTAAAGGATCCCCAAAAGCTTGACCGAAATGGCAAAGAGTTCATCGGATGGGACCAAGTCGAGGATCGAGTCCAAGACCGACTCTAGGACCGAGTTCGAGATAGAGTCCGGAATCGAGTCCGAGACCGACTCGGGGACCGAGTTCGAGTCCGAGTTCGAGACCGAGTTCGAGACGGAGTCCGAGATCCGAAATCGGGTCCGAGACCGAGTTCGAGGTCGAGTCCGAGGTCGGGTCCGAGATCGGGTCCGAGATCGAGTCCGTGATCGAGTCTGAACCCGAATCCGAAGTCGGATCCGAAATCGGGTCCGAGATCGAGCCAGAGACTAAGTCCAAATACTAATACGGGTCAAGGGGTGAAAGCCCAAAGCGTGCGTCTCCCAGGGGGGGGGGGGGCTGCAGGGGGTTCCAAAAGTATAGTAGGGATAGTGAGGTCCAGGAACCAGTTTAGAAGGGACTCTACAGTTGGGCTTCCAAACCGACTTGAGGTTGGGACTGGGACTGAGGGGCCTTGGGTGGGAGTGAGCATGGACTTGGCTGGTGCCGGAGGGGCCATCCAAGGAAGTGCTCAAGAGCAGCTCCCACTCCCGAAAGGGAAACCGATTGCGGTGCTCCCGGCTCATGTGGAGTGGTGCCCCACTTGAGTACCATGCGGCTCATTGGCCAAACCGAGAGGAACATATAGCAGGGGGAAATTCAAGAAGAGTTTCTCTAAGAATGAGTCCTCGGGGTTCCGGAAAGGCAAATCCGGTGGCCAGCGAGCAAGTACGTGGGGGAGTCAAGCGAAAAGAGACAAACCCACGGATAAGAAGGTCAAGTCATATAGCAGCGTGGGAAACAACGTATGCTACAACTGCGGTGAAGCGGGACACTTTTCGAGGGAATGTCCCTACCCAAAGAAGGCCAGAGCCAATATGGCCATCAAGTCGGGTGAAGTCCAAAATGAGGTATGTGATCCAGTCCCTAACTCAAAGTTACTCATTACACGAGCAACTTTGGTAGAGAGTCGTTCGCGACATCTACTAGCCCTCCGAGGGAAGCTCGGAGGTAGCTTTGTTAAGATCCTTATTGACACGGGTGCTTCGGATAATTTTGTGGCTGCAGACATAGTCCGGCAAGCCGGACTAACGGTGCAGCGGCTAGGCGAACCAAGGACTATAGAGTTTGTTCAAGGTAGCCAAAGCACCGATGAGGTACTTCGACAAGCGAAAGTCGAAGTAGGGACTTGGAAGGTAGACATGGATTTCACCGTGTTGGACATGGCGGGATTTGACGTGATCTTTGGAATGGATTGGTTCAATCGGTTCGTGGTAGCCCTACATGGACAAGGTAGGAACCTTGTGGTACTGGCGAATGCCCAAGGAAGAAGATCTAGGGTGGAAGCCCAGGATCTAAAGGTAGGGCAAAGCAAGGCCAAAGAATCCTGTTTAAACCTGGTGTCCACGAGAGGACAACTCACTAAAGGAACTAAGGCAGCCTTTTTGTGCTTACTCTCAGTGAAGAGTGACAAAAAGACAAGAACGGAAGAAGTGCCTTTAGTGATCCAGCGAGTGTTGGACCAATTCCAGGATACCATGCCGGAGGAGCTACCGGCGGGGTTGCCCCCCGCACGACCGATAGAACATAAGATTGAGCTGGTCGAGGGCGCTGAGGCGGTGGTTCGTCCACCTTATCGTTTGAACGAAAAAGAACTCAAGGAGCTCAAGTGCCAACTAGAGGAGTTGGTGGACAAAGGGTATGTTAGGTTGAGCAAGTCGCCGTATGGGGCGCCGGTGTTGTTTGTGAAAAAGAAAGATGGATCTATGCGCATGTGCATAGACTACCGGTTGCTCAACAAGTATACAAAGAAGAACAAGTACCCTTTGCCAAGGATTGAGGACCTGTTCGATAGGTTGGGAAAGGCAAAATACTTCTCGAGGATTGACCTAAGGTCAGGATACTACCAGATCAGGGTAGCCGAGGAAGATGTCGAGAAGACAACCTGTCGAACGAGGTATGGAAGCTTTGAGTTTCTGGTGATGCCCTTTGGGCTGTGCAATGCGCCGGCAATGTTTTCGGCGTTGATGAACCATATCTTTGTACCCTATTTGGATCACTTCGTGGTCGTCTATATCGATGACATCCTGATCTATAGCGAGACGCTAGAGGAGCATGCCGAACACTTGGCGAAGGTGTTTGAGAAACTAAGGGAACACAAGCTGTATGCTAAAGAGAGCAAATGTGACTTTGCTCAACAAGAGGTAAAGTTTCTCGGGCATGTGGTGGGCCAG